CAACGTCAACACTATGGATACCCACTACCGGGTCAAGGCTATGGAAACATCGTTCAGCGACCCCCGCATCAACCTGTACCTAAACCAAATGCACAATACCTGAGGAGCATCAAGGTCAGTGCACCAACTTTTGATGGCAAGCTTGACCCACAAGCTTTCATGGACTGGTTGAAGAACATGGATCACTACTTCGATTGGTACGCCTTGACGGAGCCCCGAAAGGTTAAGTTCGCAGCTATGAAACTTACCAGACCCGCCTTCCAATATTGGTCTAACCTCGAGATGTTACGGCACATTAGAGGTGAGTTACCAATTACAACTTGGCGGAAAATGGCTGACGAGCTGAAACGGAAATACCTCCCACTATCGTTTTACCATAGGTTGCTAGACAAGTGGCATCGGCTTACTCAAGGAACCAAATCAGCGAAAGAATACGTTGCCCAATTCGACGAATTGTTTACTCGATGCAGCATCATTGAGCAAGAGGTGTCAATGAAAGTCTTGTCAAAGTTTAGAGCTAGATTGAGAAGCGACCTCCAAACCAAACTCTTTGCTAGAGGAGTAGACACCCTTGAGAGAGCTTACGTCTTAGTTCAAGATTTAGATGAAGCCAAATCCTACCAATCTCATAGGAGTCAAGATTTTTGAACTCATTCCTCCCAGTCTTCCCATACCACTACCTCTAGTCAACCTTTGAGCCGATCTATCCGTAGTTCTTCCTAGCCTAGAGTCGACCACAAAAGCAAGGACCCGGAGAGAGATTTCTCTAAGATTGGTCCTCACATTAAGTGCTATAAATGTCAAGGGTACAAACATGTTTTTGCGAACTGTCCGACCTGTCACAAGGTTGCTATCATCGATGACCAATTCGAATATGAACCTGAACTTGACAACGATGAGTTTGTCCATCAAGTTGACGATAATACCGATGATTTCGGGGATGACGTAGATGATACTGTCCTATGCTGTCTTAGACAAATCGAGCTTCCCACCATATCAGTCGTCTGATGCGCCATCTCCCAACCCAAGGCTGTTGATGATTGGAGACATACTTCCATCTTCTACACATTCACAAAGATTGGCGATAAAAATTACAAAGTGATTATGGATAGTGGAAGCTATATCAATGCGGTCTCATCAGCTGTGATAGCCAATATTAGTCTTAAGGTCGTACCCCATCCTAACCCTTACAAGGTATCATGAATTAATGACACTGCACTGCATGTCCAAGAGAGGTGTTTTGTCCCCCTTCAATTTGCCATCTACAAGGACAATGTTTGGTGCGATGTTCTAAAAATGAATGTGGGTCAAATTATTCTTGAAAGACCCTAGCTGTTTGATAACGACGTTCACATCTTCGGGCGATCAAATATGTTATTGTTCGAGCATGACGGGAAGAAGGTCAAGATCCTTCTGGTTTAACCGAAAGGTAGTGACAAGAAGCTTGATCCAAACAAGTCTTCCCGAGGCGTTAACTTGATTGGAGCCAAAGAGATCGATCGTGAGCTAGCCAACGGAGCCCCCATTTTCTCCCTCGCTGCTAGAAAAGCTCCTAAGTATATTTCTGACATGGTTCCTCCAGAAGTCGCTCCTGTGTTGGAAGACTTCTCTAACGTCTTCCCTGAGGACCTCCAGGACCAGTTACCCCCGATGCGTAATATCCAACACACAATTGATTTAGTCCCGGGAGAAATCCTTCCTAATTTGCCTCACTATCGGATAAACCCCAATGAGCATGAAGAGTTGAATAGGCAAGTTGATGAGCTGCTGAAGAAAAAGCTTTGTGAAAGAAAACATGAGACCTTATGCGGTCCCCGCATTACTAACGCCTAAGAAAGATGGCACATGGTGTATGTGTGTGGATAGCCGTGCAATCAATAAGATCACGGTAAAGTACTGTTTTCCCATTCCCC